ATTTGTAGCAGTTCTGTACATAGAACTTGTAGGTGCATTCACTATTTGTTCAACAAACCCCTAGGTAGAACACTTAATGACAGTGCTTTTCTCTCTCTCTCATCCTCGTCTTAGAGTCTTCACAGATTTATAAGACAGCTCTTTATTCTTCTACTTGCCTTGTGTCTAGTCAACACAGGTAAGGTTTTTGCATATTATATTTCAACATCTGAAACAGGTTCTTGTGAGAGTAAAGTAATGTCCACATGTGAATAGAATATGTCTAGGTCTATGTGAAGTAAATAGAAGCATTCTGTGAAGAATACCAATGTCTATGTGAAGTATACAGCACTTAGATAGGAATCATGACACCTTCAAGCTTGTCTGTGCCATGACAGAACTGTCTCTGAGCCGTTTACTTGGCCATTGAGCTCAAAGGAGTAAATGTGTACCATCCAAACTCATACCGAGTGAAACTCGTCAGGCTCATAATGATTGTATGAGGCCGTTCAGGCAAGGCTTGAAGCTTGAAGGTGGCGGCGTGGTGAATGAACGTTTGAACTCTGAGCGCTTGAGACCTCAGGCCTCACTCAAGCTAGATTGAGCTCCTCGCACTTTGACTCGGAATTGAAGCGTCGGTGTATGCTGAATTTTGATCACGTTCTATCCTCTGGAAATGCAAGGATAAATTTCTGCAGCCAGTGTAGTAACTCCGACCCTACAACAGTCCGACATTCTTTTAATTTCAAGGTATGGAAACATTTTGGCATGGCCATGCATTCGGAGTCTCTTGACAGCCCGAGATTCTGGGTTAATTGAAGCCAGGGAGTATTATCGTATATGCCAGACTGCGACTCGGAATGTGCAGGCAATGGAAGCGCGTTTCGTGGGACGTATCGCCGGGTGGTTTGGCACTCAGGGATTTCCAACGTCAAACTTATACTCCTTATGGCTGAAGACAGACGGTCGTGCAGCACAAGTGAGTGTGGACCATCGCTTTTGGATAGTCGAGGCAGTGGTTTGTCTGACAAGAACTGTACTACTAGACTTCAGAGAGGTGATAACGACAGCGGAATCTCGTGACAGATAATTTATCTGCTCGACTCATCCGAAAGCGACCCACATACAACATGTGGTTGTGGAGATTAGCTTCCACCATGTGGCTGGCATCCTTCCGTACTTACAGAAGCACTGCCTTTCACACTAATCCGCTCATCTGATTTACGCCTATCCTTCTCTGATTCTCATATTTTACAGATTGAATCATGTCCTCGGTCAGCGTCCATGCAGTAAATAATCTGGCAACGCAGTTGCTAGCAGAAACACGGAGTCTCAGCGACTCTCCAGTTGACAAGTACAAGTAGGTTTGACGTCCAACTGGCTCTCACAATCACTAGTCTCATCCTTATCATTTCCTCTTATACTTGATGATGGAGGCTACTCAATGCGCCTGAAACACCCTGTGCTCGACCAATCGTCTGCCCCCCCCCCTGAAGTGCTTAGCATGATCTTCGTCAAGCTCGTCGCAATTCTCCACAAAAATGTCCCGGAATATGGGTTTCAAATGGCTAACCCACCTCCTGATTGTCTGCTGGCTGTGGTTGCGCATCGCTACTACTTTCTCCTCCCATTTGCTATGGACCAACACTATCGTCGATCACAAATCAAATGCTGCTCACCGGCGCCAGAGGCTGGCGAGGTCTGACGCATTGTCGTTACAAGATGAATCTGGAAAACAGTAACCGAAGCCAGCGACCTCTTTTGTGTTCGATGACGTCGTGGCTGAATTTTTTGAACACGGTGACCTTTGGACTGCGTCAATGAATCATAGCTTGCCCTCTTGCGGATGCCTGCATCGATGCTCAGTACACTAATACTGAATATTGCCGGGGAGTCATGAAGCTCACTGCTTTTTGATGGCCGGACCACTCGGTTGGAGCGGCTCTACCTCAGCCATGCGACTCGGTAGCCAATGAACAATTTACCTTCTTTGACCCAAAAAGTGGAAGAGACGGACAGAGAAGAGAGAGAGAGAGAGAGCAGAGTACGTTTCGGCAGCGCGCCTCCGAATTCGGGGAGTTCATGGAGGCCAGCCCTAACTTGCAGGAACTCTACGTGGAAGATATATTCGGACAGCTAGAGACACGTCTTTGGCAGGCTTCCATATCCCGACACATCCAGATGCCCTTGTTTCAGAGGGTAGTCCTCAAGAGATGACATGAGTCTATGCTTGCGTCCGTCCTGTACAACCTCGACTTTACACATAACACAGTCGCCATCTATATTTTGGGACTCTGCGAGGACGACACGGTTTTCGACGCGATCCAGTACCTGGCGAGACGGTCGGGTACCTTTGACCAGCACGAGAAGCCTACGGAGCTGCCATTTTCACTACTTCTCCGCAACGTCTTGTTCCAAACCCGCGGCCCTCCAGACGTCTCCCTCACGTTTGGCACCGAGATGCTGCCGAGCCCCGACACGCATCGAGTTCATGAGGACCTTACCAGCAATCCTAGAGCTGGGCGGCGTAGAAGACCCCACGCTCCGTGTCGACCACGCGCGCACCCCGCCCGCCATGTGCTAGTACGCGCCGCGCACTCTTGTTCAACATGGTCTCCGTACCCTGTTCAGAGATATACATATGTACATCCTCCAACCTAACACGACACCAGAAATACTGCCTCTCGCGGCCCACTGGTCCCGTCGCGGGCGACGACATTCGGACACGAGTCCCGCTGCCCCGCCCGCGGTCCCTGGAGTTCGCTTCCGTCGCGTCGGAACCCAACCGGCCACGGAAGCCGACCTGGTATGGGTGTCGCGCAGGATTGCGCAAGACGCGGGGAGCGGCTGGGCGCGCTGTCGTGGAACCCAGATGAACTGGCGGTCGCCCACCGGAATACGGGCACGCTGAAGATCCGCCCCGGGCGCGGCGTGTCGTGGGCTCCGTGGACACTGTTCGCCTCCACCTGGCCGACGGCGGCGGTTCGAGTATCCCTGGCGTCGCCCTCTGGAACGACTGCGCACAGCGCGTTGCTTGGAGCCTGTTTTGGCGTTCTGAAGTCGCCGTGGATATCCCATTCGTCGCTGCTGATCCGAATCAACGCCATGTCGCTCGATGCTTCTGTGCAACGGACATGTAGTGCGATCACCGGGGTCCGTTCTGGTCCTGACGTGCTGCGGTCGAACGGTGCAGTCCGTGGTCAGCCCGCCTGCTATGAGTGTTGCGATTTGACGTGATAGAAACGCGGTTAGGCCTTCTTATAAACCATTCACATCCGGGTCGAATGTTATGACTTCAGAAGATTCCAGATATCACGGCCATATCACGGCCATGCTTATTGTGACATGGTGTCAACAGCACGGGCGCTGTAGTAAGTTCCCAGTGGTTCCTAACACCGAGGTAGTCCTTTAGACATCGATGTTGAAGTTATACTGAGACCATATGGTGGGAAAATGGATGGCGACTTGCTCAAGCTGTAGTACCCCGGTGCCTAGCCGTCCAAGACTTCTCCCTGTGCGCACACGACATTTCAAAAGGTAAACTTCCCGGGACCAAGTTCTACCACTGCGCAACATACGTCTCACGCAGTCATCTCGCGCAGCAACATGATTAATATATCTAGACAGCATATGCACAAGCTATATGCACAAAGTACGCAATAAGTATATGCAGCAGCCGAGAACTCTGATTGTCTTAGAGATGAGAAGGAACCACCGCCCCAAGTAGAGCGCGAGACTGGAATAGCAGTAAACGCGCACGCCGCGCGCCGCAGGATGTCTGGCCCAGAGTCCGATGAACGCCCAAAAATTGGCTAGAAGCAGACGGCCACCAAGAAAGTTCGAGGCATCTCGTGCATGTACCAAATCGTATTGGACGTGGCAACTCGCCAGGGGGCAATGGACCACATCGACTCGGCATTTCCCGTGACCCTGCCCAGAAATTAATCCAAGCGTGTGCGCCTGCAGCAAGGAAGTGAGTTACTGAAAGCCTAGCGGAGAAGCTGCTGTATGCGGCTATATGCGTGAGAATGGGCCCGTTACTCTTCGAGCTGTCATGCAGGGACGCTAAGGAAAACGCAGCTGTTGGTCAGACGCTGCAGAAGAAGGACGAAGACGCTGACCGAGCAGGGAAGCCGAAAAGCAACTACGGGCTGGGTGCGCACGGTTCCGCCGCCGCCACCTCGTCCACCGCCGACATAGGCTCTATCGTACAAGTTCCCTTTTCTAGGTGATACTTCAAACCATTCGGGTTCAGGTACGACTAACAACACGAGGTCAGTTGGGCACGCATCGCCTAGAACCACGATGCCCGGACACACCTTCGAACATCCAGGCCGCTGGACGCCATGCGGCAGACGAGACGCGTAGTCAGCTAGACGACGAAAGGCGGCGCGAGCAGAAGCCTCACCGGACACTTGTATGTCTTCTCGCGTACGCGTTTCTTGGTGGTCGGTGCATGGGTATGCGCCGTACCGAGCACCTGCGCCTTCGCCTTCCCGTGCGTGCGATCGAATCCGCCCGGCGCGGGTTTGGGTGGCCTACTCCTCGTGTTCTCGCTATGAGTGATCGGAACCCGCGCGCTGTCGGACTTTACAGCAGGCGGCCGGACTGAGAGGAGCGAGGGAGGCACACAAGTTGGGATGCATGCTGAGGTCTCGGCCGCCGGTGACGATGGCTCCGAGGGCGGCTCGGATGACCCGGAAGAGACCAGCCCTGCGACGAATGCGTCGGGGTCGAGGACATCTAGGACTGCCGTCAGGACGTCCGGATCAGGTGTCGGTGGTGGATCTGGCTGGGGGTAGCTGAGGACGATGCTGGTGCAGCCATGCGTAGCGCTGTCCGAGTCTTGAGAGCGATCAAGAGGCCGACCATCCTGGTCGAGCACAATCACGTGGAACTCTTCGAAATGGTCGAGGAGCTCGTGGAGGTCGGCGATAGTGAGGCCGCAGCAATAGAAGTTGGAGCACTGGGGGAAGAAAGAGGTTAGATGTAGACGAAGATCAATCAGGCTATATGCGCACAAATTCACGCTCGATTTGACTGAACGGGGGCGAAGGAGAGCGAGACCGGACCATGTCAAACCTGGTTGCAAATGTTGGTGAGCCGTATAGATTCATACACAGACTAGATGACTTACTCGAAGATGTCGGACCAGTTCATGGCTGCTGTGCACGGCGGGGTGGTGGTGGGAGGAGGTGAAGGAGAGGAGACAGGGTACGGCGAGAGGGAAGATGATATAGTCGAGTAAGTGGCTTCGGAAAGGGGGGAAGACAGGGTCGGCGTTACACAGGCGAGGATCGTTGGGCCTGTTGACGCGTGGAGACGCAAGGAAGCGTTCGAGGAGCGGGTTTCTGTTGCGCCCTCGTGGGGTGTGCGTGTATGTTGTCCCGAGTCTCGGATATATGATCAGTCGCACCGCAACGTACCCGAGCAACGCCGCACCCACCACTTGGAATCACACACGCATATGCCCTCGCCCTCCCGCAGGCCATGGCTCTCGATGGCGACGACTCCGCGCGTCTCCACTCGCTCGATAAACGAACGTTCTCTTCCGAAAGGCAAGACGACAAAGTGCCACCGCTGCTCCCCCCCCAGTCAGCTGGCCCTTCTCCGCCCGCTGAGACCGAGAACACACATATAGCTAAGGAACATAGTAGCCAGCTAACGAGCTAGTCGCACATCAACACACACTAGCGTGACTCAACGACCTCCCGAAACGGAAGCTGCCACGCCAAGCTGCGCCACTCGTCCATATACAGTAGGTCACAGGCAGTCCCAAATTTTACATTGTATTTACATCAAAGTTCAGATATTTTTGCATACTAATGCGAGGCATTGGACACTACACTTTACACGGAAGACCGAGCTTCCACATGTGTCAATTATCGCAGTATATCAACACACCGCTCGGCATTTCATTTCATGGTAATTTACGGCTTTTATCTGCATACCAGCTGAATTACTTGAACGCTTCATACCCCCAGTCGCTCAGTCCCGACCATTGCCAACCTGCATAGCCATAACTCCTGCTCTCTCTGTATGGCCAACCGGTGCGGCCATCTTTCGGGAGTTTCTTCACTTCTTCCAGATGTTCCTTCGCCATCCAGGGCCATGAAATATGGTCCGCGAGCGAGAACGTTCCTCGCGGCCAATTTTCGATCAGTGCGGGAGATACAACGGCCATGCCGTCTCGACGGTAGAGTAAGACGCCGTCCTCTTCGTAAGGTGTAACTAACAAGACGACGATCGTTTCCTCAAGAGGGACGTGCCCCACATTCGCAGCTGAATAGAACCGCCGCTCTCCAACAACAGCGGCATGTGTTCCAGTTCGTCCTGCTATATATGCCCGACCAGTTGCAAGTGGTCTACCATGACCCGACTCCACAGTGGCAATCTTTGCGTCGGATCCTGCTTCATCGACGAACGATATGGGAGAGATAGGAACCGTCATCCTGAAGAAACTGCCCGTCCGGGTCGAAGGTCCCATGTTGTACAATCCGTAGTAGCTGTAACCCGATTCCCTCGGTCTTGTCACGACGGAAATCATGCTACCACTCGGCGCATTCCCCAGATACCAGTCAAATCCTGTTACATATCCTCCGGGAACCGGCATGAGATTCAGCGAGCGGAGAGATGGCGAGATGGGGCGCGTCTGCCATGCTGCCAGCCAATTTGCCTTCCCTCCCTGTCTCAAGATGCAATCGACAAGAGCGTGCGCGGCGTCCGAACGGTCCTCGTACTGGGTCGGGTCAAGTGTTACACCGAAGAGGCCCATGATACTGTAAACGTGGTCTATCTCCCTCTGACATGAACGCATAAGCGCACAGCGCCAGATTGCGCTTTCCCGTTCATCTCGATCCGTCGCTGTGAGTGCAGCCTGAAGCTCAAGTAGCTGGGACTCTCGCGGGCTTACGATGGAACACTCCAGTTCCACGCCTGCATCGCCCACATCATCGTCGGCGCCGGACGGCTGGAAATGCGGTTCTGGACCGACGCGTAGCAAGTCTGGGAGGCTGAACCAGTGTAGTCCACAATCATCATCCTCGCGATTGTGAACTTCCAGTGCAAAACCATTAGCGTGCACTAGCGTTCCGTCCCCTAGGTCCCAACGGGCAGCGCAGTAGACATTACGGGGCAGAAGCGTCTCCTGTAACGTCCAGCCACGGTCGATCCACGCCGTCTGCTCATGTACTTGCATGAACCCGCCTATTCCACCAGGAAGAACTAGACAAGCGAGGCACCTGCGGTAAATGTCAGCCATATTCTGGATCTGCCATGCCTGGTCCTCCTTGTGTCCTTGGATCATGCAAAATCGATCAAGCCAGAGGTACGGTGCGCCGATCTTCAGTGCGTACATACACGCACGGGCGAACACAGTGTGATCGATCCGATCACCATCCTCTGCCCCCCAAACAGCGTACGAGTCGCTCTCGGGCGACTTGTACACCCCTTTCCAGACGTAGGAGATGGCGGCGAAAGGGAGCAAAGCTAAGATGTCGATAGCCGGGTCAGACTCCCAGATGCGGAGGATGTCGTCGTCACAGTATGCCTTGCAGTCGACAAAACGCCATCTTTTGGGTGTGGCGAGGGCATTGATGCTGAGTGTGCTACCACGCGCCCGGCTTAAATGCCATTCGTACCCGCAGTCAAGACCTGTAGGCACCCTTCCTGTAGTCTTTACAGCCTCCAAGACCGTCATCGTGCCCAAAAGCGGTCAATAAATGCGTGTGAGTGATTCCGGCGGAGATCTCTTGCACAAACCAAAGCTTGTGGATTCTGTAAGAGAATATTTAGAGATCTATTAGGCCATCAATCAAGGTACTGTATCGGCAATCTGCCAGGCGCGAATGAATACCTACGCCGTAAGTAGTATAGCCCCCCGAGTCATCGAGCAGAACTCCGAGCTCCAGTTGCTGTGAAATGCGGCATGTGCCGAAGCAACATGTGCGGCAACTGGCGATACTAGTAAGTTCTTATATATTGCCAGATCGAGTCTTAGTGGTTGGTGTCAACTCGCAGTGTTATCTGTACACCGTACTGTTATTTGTCGATATGCGGAGGTAGCATTGAGTGTTGGAGCAACGACCACCATGAACTCAGAGGAAGCCTAGGTGCGTAGCTTGATTGCTCGACATTGCTCCTTGATGCTCTTCATGTCGCTCAACGACAGGATTATCCTCCACGGCTGAGACGCACGACCTGGTGTGGGTTGATGTGCTGTGGAAGGGGCATAGCAACGTTCTTCGGGAGGCGCTAATTAAAAAACCAGTATTGCGAAGACACTATCTTCCGCTGGTTTCACAGGCTGAGTTTCACTAATATCATGAACAACAAACGGCCCAGTCCCGAGATTCAACTGGTGGTAAAAGCGTGATTTTATCTTGGAAAGTTGAGAATGGGGTCGAAAAAGGTTGTTAGGTACGTACGTGCGCTTGATCGGGCGTACGCGATCAAGGTGGACAAGGAGTTGCAAGGTGCTCGCCTGGATTGGAAGCGGTACTTGCGACATACAGCATGTCAGCAGGGCATTGAAACATTGGTAGAATAGTCCTCGTGGGGCATATCAAAAGTGAATCCTTGACAGTTTAGTGTCCTGTACGTGACCCAACTACATGACGCGATGGCATCCGGTACACAATATTCCTGCAGGGAACATACATCTGGAGGGAGAACGCCATCCAAAGGATGCTTGTGCGGAAGGGTCTGAGTGCAAATCTGTTGAAAAGATCTTGTCGAACCAATGAGCAAGCATACCGTACCACCTGAGGTACCCTAACCCGCCAAACGTGTACTGTTAGAGCAATTCACAAGTGCCTATGTCATCAAGGTCGGAAGGATTCTTGCTAGCGACACCCTAGCACACGTGTCGATGGTGAGGTCGATCACGGTTCCCGAACCTGTCTTCCCTTCATTTCCATACTGAGACCGGAATAGTGTCTTCATCCATCTGACGCTTCCAGCTCTTGAGGATCATTCTCATCACAGCTTCACGCCCACTTTCACCCACCACTACCATTCTCTATGAATTGGGACGACATGTTCGAGTAAGCGTGGCACTCTATGTATGAAGTCATAGAACTCACTCCATAATTACCGCCAGCTTCTGCACAGCTGAGTCTCGTTCCCGTTCCCATTCACCACCTCCATTCAGCCAAATTGAATGCGAATTCGTGCGTGTCCATCTCAATACTCCCTCACACCTAATCCCGTCCGCACACCCAGTGTTCCGACTTCTCCTGCTGTGGTGTGGTCATCGCCGATCTCCACGAGCTTCTCAGCCACTTCGAAGAGTACCATGTCGTTGCGCTCGACCAGGATGACCCGCTCGATCCCTCCCAAGACTCGGACGCCGCCGCGCACGGCTGCACCGGCATCGTCCCCAGCTACCCACAGCCGAATCTACCACCTCCGCCCACAGCAGTCCTGGGTGTCCTTGACTCTGACGCATCCACTGCAGGACTGGTCTCTTCAGGTTCGTCCGAGTCGCACTCGGAACCATCCTCGCCACCACGCGAAGATCCTGAATGGATCCCGACACGTGCGCTCCCGTCGCTCCCCTCAATCCAATCGACCACCGTCAAGCCCGAGGGCGCGCGTGTTTTGATCACGCACAACGCGAGGAACAGGGTACCCAAGCATCCGCCGGCTCCAAAGGCACAGGTCCTCGGTACAACACACGCGCACGCGCCGCGACTCAAGAAGCGCGCACGCGAGAAGACATACAACTGTCCGGTGAGGCTTCTGCTCGCCCCGCTTTGTTCGTCGTCTCACTGACCGCGCGCATCATGTCGCCTGTGATCCAGCGGCCTGGGTGTTCAAAGGTGCGTCCGACCATCATCCCGCTGCGCAGGCTTAATAGCCACCCGACTGACCTCGTGTTGATAGTCATACCGGAACCCGAATGGACTGGATTATCATCTCGCAAAGGGAACTTGCATCATCGAGCCTGTCCCGCCACCGGAGTCATAGACACCCGATGCATAGCTGCTGCTCGGATGCCCTGCATGATCAATACTTTCTCCCCACTGCGATCGGTGTTCCCGATAGGACCACGGAGAACACCGACCCGCGCGTCGATGTGTTCCATCTCTATCGCGCTCGGCTTGCCACGCCCAGAGTGCACGTCCAAGTATGTATCGTGTACTGTCTTGTACGTCTGTGTGGCCGTGTCCAGGTACAGAAACACGACTTGCAATCCCTGAACCTCAGTCAGGCTCACACCCTGCGCCACTCGGACGATATGTATCACGTCTAAAAACACCCGTGCTTCTGAGCCCTAGTTGAACGCTGATATAGATAGCACATCACTTACCGTTGCGAACCTCGTCCGAGGACATGTTACGGCTCGCCCCAGCGCCCTCGTTCCTGCCCCAAGCAGCCTCGCTGTCGGCTCTGTAACTATCCTGCCCAATAAGCGACCGGCCCGCCACTTCCTTCCTTCGAATACAGTAGACCGTGTGCTCGATGCCATCATATAACGTTATCCGTATGCTGTATGTCGCTGAGTTTACTTTACTTTGTAACAAACGTTCTGTCTTCCTGGAAGCCCCCATTATGCGTCCTTCTGCGCTTCCTCGGTGGCGCTGAGGATCTTGTCGTACCAACTCGAGTTAGACGCGTTACGTCTGGCGGGAATTGCCAGCGGCACGGTTCTAGTAAACGGTTAGCAGTTTGCGCTAAAGACTGAATGCGTTGAACGCACAAGACTCACCGGTTCAGACGCCTCTGGTCTAACGCTTTGAAGCCCTGACGGGCTATCTCCGGCCCTCAACCCCTTAACTTGGTGTGCTTGCGTTCTTGGTGTCTCTCGGTGATAGAGACGCATATACACGCGGCAGGTCTTGTGTGTGAACGGAGTCAAGTGGCCAGGGAAAGAACCAGATGTGAATGAAGGAACAGAGTTGGGCGTGGAACACAACCACTTGCATGTTTACGGACAACAGAACCTCCGAGCGTGTGTCGGAGACATCAAGAAGGCTCTCGGGCGCTGCACGCTCGGTGCCGTAATTGGAGGAGTAAATAAATGTTTGTCTGACAGTCGAGTACAAAGTACTACCAAGTACCATTCAGATCGAGTGAGGCTGCTGCGGTGTCGGAACACTGACAAACCCTGACATGATGGCATGGAGTGATGTTGTTGTCAGCCGCAAGTTGCAACAGTACGTGTGCGATCATGACAGGCAGATGCGGAAGACGGAGTGTGTGTATGGGATCCGAACCAGGACGCCAGAGGACCCCGGAATATCGACTTGACGCTCAGATCTTAATGTGGACATAATTGGGGGCCAAAAGTCGTCCGTCTTGGATTACAGTACGGACAGACTCGACCAAAGTTTGACGAACGTCGGATCCCTCCTGCGGACACAAGTGGCCCTATCGACCAGAGCGTCGATCACTGCGCGGACAGGGCTGGTCCACGATGGCTCTCTTTCTGAACATTGATGCTGTGGGACACATCCGGAATGGGGAGCGAAACATAAGAAGATTTGTGTAAGGTTCTGGATACAGTGTTGTATACGCACTATCTGTACACGAGCGCGGGTGGCCTCGCGCGATTTTTTTGGGTTATGTTTAGCGTTGTTTGGGAGCATAGATAGCTCATGCGGACGAAAATTGTGGTCTCGTACCCAAATGTCTTCAACACGTTGGGGTATGAGACCAGAAAATTGGGCCGTTCAAGGCCATTCAGATCTAGATCCGGAAATTTGAGGTACCAAAATTGCGCTGACATAAAGGCCAAAAATAATGATATTGAATCCGAGTTCTAGGATGATATGTCGGGGTCCTGATGCTGGACGCTGGATATCGCAAGTTACCGATGTACATTGCCTGCTGGTCTGGGTAGTCCAGCGGTTATGGCGTAATGAGAAGCTCGACATGCTGATACGGTCGCCAAAGGACACTGATTGGTCCATGTTGCGGTAATTATCAGGAAGTGCCCATATGCTGGTGCGGACCAGGAAGTGGCCCCTTCATTCCAGATGAGGGGCACACACCCCGTGTGATGCACCATGCATCTCATGAACCTGCGGTTCTACTTGGTGTGAATGCTAGTCTCCGAAACTGTGCACGAGCGGAGTGAGGACTGCCCGGGTGCTCATCTGTCTGCGGGTAAACTCGGAGTGGAGTGAGCGCTGGGAGAAAATCGCAGATAGACGAAATAAATACGTACAAGAATGGTGTGGTGGACATAGACACTGGCAGTGCAAAGTCCCGAACGACAAGGATCAGGCTGACGTCTACCCCACGGGCAACACCCCACAAGCCCCCCACTGAATTCTACATTCGTACAAAGCGATCGGTCCACGTTTCTCGGGTAAGACGCATGGTATGAACGCATATATGCGTGGGTGTGCGCTACGGTACGCGTCTGTGGCACGAGACTGACTTGTGCAGATGGCGTGTCATTTGAGCAAATCTCGCAAATGTGACGTCGAGCGGAAATACGAAACCCAGCGTTGGCTGGATCCGAAGGTATGGCGCGGGCGTGAAAATGCAGGAAAATGCAGGGAAAGGAGGGCGGCAAGTGTTGGGCGTGAGTGACCGGAAGAGGGAAAGTTTCGGGGGTCGTCGGACTGGACGGAGATTGAGATGACACACGATGGTGGGGAACTGGAGAGAGAGCGGACGGTCATGGGGGCGCAGCGGGCGGAGAGAGCGTCGCATAGCCGAACGAGGAGCGGACAGGCGCACTCTTCACATGACGCGGCCGCGGGCGTCTCTAAGAGGCGCGCGTGAGAATTTCGCGCGACAAGTCCAGATATAGACTCAGCCGGGGACCTAAACAGAGGTAAATACGAGAGCAGCGTGATTGTAATCGGGGGCGCCGGGCCGCGTCTGGGGGTTGAGGCCAAATGTTGGGTGAGACGAGCTGAAACAGGCCACCCGCTCTTCATCACCAACGTCCATCGTCTCCGTCCGACCTGCGTGAGCTCGTCGCTCTGCACATCCCCCTCTGAGGGCGGCCTTCTTTGTCCCGCAGCGCCCCCGACTCTGCCGAGCTCAGCGTATCCCCGTGCCGGCAGACGGAACAGATTACCCAGCCAGCGGCCACGGTTGCCTTCAAACCCGTTCGGCCGCCCTGCGTTTCTATTTTCTACGTCGTTCGCTGCGCCCCCTGTCGCTCTGCGTCGCTGGACATCTCGCTTCGTTGTTGAGAAGTCTTTGTCGGGTCCCATATCGCCTGTTTCGACATGATTCCCCATTTTCCTTCCCCCGTTCTTTCCGTGGCCGCTGACGTTGTGCAGGAACTCGAGGGAGAGGATGCCCTCTACGGCTTATGGACATGTGCGTCCTTTCGCTGGTATGGTCTGTATCGAGTGCGTTATTGACGCTGTTATCAGTGTTCACAAAGTGCAAGGAGTCCCTCAAAGACGGCCGTCGTCTCGAGAATCTTTCTTGGCGTCTCTGGTATCGTGAGATTGCCGCATCGCACACCCCGTCTTCTTCCCCAGGTTCTCTGTCCCCTTCGTCTTGCGGCAGGCGAAGTCCCACGCCGATCACTCCAGTCTCTGAGGATGGTCCGGGGCGCGACGATGGTATGTTTTACCTGTCGTTACCGTACGGTCTAATTTCTAATTTCTATATCGTAATAAAAGGTACTTCTCAACCATGTTTGCATACCGGTCCTGCGCCCTCTACTGCTCATTCTTGGCATGGAGACGTCGCACAACTATCCGTTGTTACCGCCAGTCGTCGCCTCAGTATCGCTAGTGCTCCTGCAGACCGCCCCCAGCCTACGATTGCTGTAGGCAGGTTCCTCATCGATATCTTACCTACTAAGCTAGATATCGCGGCACACAAGAAATCGATCGGGTCTCCTCGAGGCACCTTCGCGCATGTGCCCCCATCCTCGGCGCTTCCTGTCATTGTTCAGCCGCGTCCGGTCGTTGCGATCCAGGTTCACAGCACACCTTCAGTACCAGCACCAGCTTTTCCTCGTGTCGTGGTTGTGAATCCCACTCCTCATCCGACACCACCAGCGACGCCGAACATTTCCCGCGGTGCCCAGGCACCCTCTGTCACTCCTGCTGCCACCCATCTACTTCCGCCGCCTCCCACACGGAATATGGTCACGGCACCAACTACCGCCACTCCCGTCAAGGCGACTGTCACTTCGAGCCAACCGGCGGTAATGGAACAATCCGCATCATCAATGTCACATGTCTCACAGACTCGTAACTGGGCGCACTGCGACGATGCAACTCTCAAACCCTCCGATAGGCGCTTCTTCCTACAAGAGGTAGTTCATTCACCAGAACGGGACTCGGTCGATAGCAGTTCGCAACCAGCTGATGCAAGATCCGAATCGCACGAACAAAGTCCGAGCAGCACCGCGTCTAGTCAGCTCAAATCTGATGCGCGGTCAGCGGGCGCGGGGACAAAGCGTGGAACAGCCAAGACACAATGCAGGAAAAGCAGAGAGCCAGTGCGCCACGTTCGCCCTACTGCAATCCATCGGACTCAGACGCAGATGCAGCTTCATCGTCCGGCTGCTCATCGGAAGGCAGGGAATGGGGATGCGAAGAAGACGACTTTCAACATCGGGTCGGCGTCGTCGAACGGTTCACGAAGTGTTGTTCCGGGTCCATCGCGACAGGTCCACAAAGAGCACAAAGAGTTGATCGCTCCCAAGGTTCGTCACTCAGAACCCGCGAAACAGACCAATGGACTTGTACCCGAACGAAAGAACATTGTCGTGAGCTCCTCATCGGATTATACGGATTCAGACGATGATTCGGAGTGGGCATCAGAAGACAACAGTACGGAAGAGCGTGACCGGTTGGAGCGCGAGCGCGAGGAGACGCGTCTGCGCGAGGCAGCAGAGGAGGCACAGCGCCAGCGCGACATGTTCGCGAAGGTGCCAAAACGGTCGTATTCCAATCTCAACCGCACAGGTTCCGGACTACTGTCGCAGCTCCTCAACCCTGATCCAAATATCTTCCCACCGAGCCACCCATATCGCGTGCGAGGCTTCTCGTCACAGGACATGACGCAGCTAAAGCGGCAAGCTGCGCCGCCCTCGCTTTCGACCAGTAAGAGTACGGTCTCGATGGGTCTCACGCAAATTACGGCCCAAGCACCGCCAACTAATGGTGGTGATGATGGTGCAAAAGGTAGACAGCGGCAGAAGGGTCGGCCACAGAGTGCTGAATTGGAGGACGATAGCGACAGCGGTGAGGAGAGCGTCGGCAACACTATCCAGGTCTCCCGCAGCCTCGCACAGCAGAAGTTAGCCGCGCTCGCCGACCCGAATCGGAGACGACACTCCGATAGGGGACCACCGCCCGCAGAGCCTGTCGTGCGTCCGCAGTTCCCGTCAGTCGCTACCGCGCCTATACCACTCGGACATCCTTACAATCTCCCTGCGCCCGCACCACCGATGACTCCGCGCACAACACGTCGGCAGATGCTCTCCACGGAGCTATCTGAAAGCTTGCGCCGAAATTTGCTTTGGGAGCGACAGGTCAGCAGAAATAACATGACCGGTGCGCGCCGTGGTGGCTTGCTCGGTAACGGTCTACGCCCGTTGACTGCTGTGAACACTGACGCCCCAAGGCAAAATGAGCCGGGTACCAGAAGCGGCAACGAAGCCGACGACAGGGAAGCGCGGAGGCAGCGTGCGGCCGCGCGCAATCGTAGTTGGGCAGACGACTACCACTTCGTTGGGTGGTAGTCACCTGGGTTTTTTTTCATTCACTTGGTCTAAGTCTCGATATTGGTTTAGTGTACGATATTTTCCTTTGCATCGGGTTTGCTCGCTCTGCTACGCTCGTTTCCTCCGTCTCCCCATCTTGTCGACACACTCACCCGAACTCTCGTCTCACATCGCATGCGGTTTGGGGGAATGCAGGTACTATACTCCACTCGCGCACACTATTCTTTTACTCGCTCATCGCATACGCATCCTCATCCTCATCATCGTGTTCCTGTCCTTCCCATCGCTCTGTGTCGCTCACATTGCACATACTGATCGGTCGTCGAGCATTCATGCAACGTTTATAATGTGTACAAGTAATTACCCATCGTCTTAGTATATAGTCTGCGTATAGGTGTTTCGTCCAGCAATGTACTGGGTTGGATTCCTTGGATTGTGCAGAAGCTCGCCAAGATGCCTGCCTCAAGACGCTCTCAAAAGAGCTGGGCTCTAGATGCAGTGCAGAACATGAACTGTGAATACACGAGCGATTGTCGTTTTGTTCAAAAAAGTGGCTGTTGTCAGTATACTATGGGCATCTGCAGACTGCTCATCATTGAAGTTCTTCAACAGCTCACGCTCGCCACCGAGCTTCATTGCTAATTCTGACACTAAGGTAAATGGTGTCGTTTATATAGTGGCTTTCCAACCTGAACAACACCCTTCAGCGTGAGTATGGACAAAATTGACTAAGGGGGGCTGACGGGACGAGTCGGGAGCGAGATCCGATTTGGTCGATTCAAAAGCTCAAGAAGAGTATGTGAGTTGTGAAGAAATGTAAATGTTCCAAAGTTTGGATTTAAGTTACTCTTCGTGGTTTGTTTGCCCTTGAGGTCTACAATATAAGCATACCATCTTGCATGTGTCGATCGTCGGCCAGGTACAACTTCGAAATACTTTCTTGATGCCAAACATCAGGGCTTAGAGAAATGTCAGTCTAGCCAGTTACGGACTATGAAATATACCTGGGGAAGAAGGACAAGTTGTTGTCAGAGTGGTTGGGAAGCAGAACGTCATCTCCACTAGCTTTCCAACAAGTTACCCCCCGAACCTAATCTTTTTGTCCCATGTATACGCTCCTTTGAAGTTCTTCCGGAGTGGAATAAGCCAATGTGAGATCGTCGAGAATATATGATGCACCTTCCAAAGCAATATTTCCAGTATGAGAATACCCCAGGAGCTTAATGTGCAGACAAATGATCCGTTGGACACGAGCAAGATCAGAAGGTTTTAAAACTGCGCAAAGTGAACAACATGATATCTCACTAAAGAGAATGCCAACTTATGCACTGTGGAGCCTAATTTGCGAAGTATTTTTGTCCTTTGCAGTATTGAGTATTAAGATAGCTAATTGAAAGCTGGTAAATCTGGAGATAGAGAGGCACAAGGGCCGTGAGGTGCGGACATGGATAGATAACCTGCAAAACGAGACGCCAGCGATGCATGTTCTCAAAGCCGCAATCGCGGTCGAGACAGTGACCGGATCAGTAAGATTCCTGGAAGCTCGCATCATCTGTAGAAGGAATTCTGAATAAGTCAGTTCACCGATGCGAGATCGCGTAGTCTGTGAAGTTTGCGCAAACGCGGCGGACACTTCCTTGTAACAAGGCTCCGGCTCAAATAGGACGGACCGCTCATAAGCATGAGCGATGAGGATTCGATGCCAGATGAAGAGCATCGTTCAGTACTTGAAGAAAGATCCCAACGTCATCCTCATCCCGGATGATGATACTATGGAACAGATGATGACGTGCCTCTGAAACCCATGCGCGACAGGTAAAGCTGCAAGTGATATAAGAGGAGTGATCGTGCTAAAGATGGTCAATGACATGTCCGTAAAGCTCGATGGGATGTCTCTTCTGAAAATTGTCGTTGTAGCTGAGAATCCAGTGATCGCTATCCCTTTCACGGTGGTCTCGGGAGATTGGCCAACCAAGACATCGTCCCGCTCTTTTCAGCCCTGCGCTATCACCTCAGAAACCATCAGTTTGAACATTGGCTTATCAACCACCATGGCGTGCAACGTAGGCAAAAGATCAACTCGAGCATCATGTACCGTTGACTTCAGTGCGATCGCAACTCTATCGCGCGAATTAGGGAAGCTGTGATGAGAACGTTATAATGAGGAGCCGCAGGCCCGACAACAGTTATAGATAGAATGCCTACCGGGATTCAGATGCTGTGCCGCGTTTTGAGAGACAAGACGGCATCCTAAATGGCTCATGTGGTCAGCCTTATCATAGGGAAACACTATTGCTTAGGATTTCCGCCGACGAATGCACAGCGCAATTGCCGTGGCGAATACCTGTATTGATCACAGGTACCGAAAGCAAAGTATCCATACACGGACCTAATTGTAATGTTTCACCAAGACTCCATTGATAACTTCTTCTTCAACACCGCTTTCTCTCTTCTGCAGCTCAGTCTGTCCATAGGCGCTCGTCCTGCTTTTGGACCAGACTTCCATGGTTGGAGCATCTGCGTCATCATAACGGCGAGTTATCCCGTGCTCCTGCAGCACCGGACTCTCCGCATGAGGGACGAGCTTGATGTCGTCATCGGTTGTTGCAAAGTAGAAGACGCCAAGGCGAGTAAAACCACGTTGATCTGGAGGGGGCTGGACGACGCGGTGAATAGTGGCCTTGTAGAACCCCCCAGAGAGAAATTCCATGGCATCTCCAGAGGTCACTACCTTCAAAGAGAGCAGCGAGGGCATTAGACCTCAGAAACAGATGAACTATAGGGCCAAAGTACGTACAAGAGCATTATCGATATGTCGGATCCAGCGCCATCGGCCGTCTGGAGAGAGAATTTGCAGAGCAGCAACAGGTTGACTCCACAAGATTGTGACAGTCCCAAAATCTTCCATGGCTGATCAGCCACCATTCACAATCTCATGGAGAAGAGGACCACACCAGTGTGTCCTTTCAGCCATATATTCTTCGTCTTGATCTCTTCATCTTCTGGTCGGGGATAGCTACGAGGTAACAAGCTCGCTTAAATCAATAAATAGAGAAGCTCCCTCACATACTACTTCATGAATCGTACTGATATTCATGTCAGCTTAGAATTGACTATGAGAGCACGCAACGCAACGCACCGTAACTTTGGTCAGCTGCAGAGTAATTGTGTTGATTGACGAATGTATCTTCTGGAAGCTCCAGTCCCAAAGCAAAGAGACTAAAGGAATGGGGTCAGATGCACGCTACCAGTAGAAGTGATGGACGAACCGGAGAAGTGTGTGCAATATCTCTATGTGGTTGAACTTCGCAAAGGCTTCAATCTCAGGAAGGAGAGGACGGAGCGATTCTGGATGCTGCTTTTTTTTGACATCGCGATTTACTAAAGAATATAAGCCAATGGGTTCTATGCGGAAATAGACTGACTTGCTGTTATAATGCTCAACTTGATCGTGAACTCCTGCGTCAATGTGCTGCAGACCAAACATAAGCATCTTGGACACTCCTGACAATGGGTCTACGTACCCAATATTGTCGCAATTTGTAACCCAGATAGGAGCCCGTCGCCTTGATATTTGCCGCATATGTTCGCTTCTCCTCGTTCGAGACGAGACTGAACGGAACATCAGCAACGTCAAAGATGCGGTCAGTCTATAGAATAGTTCATATGATTAAATTGGGAGAGCAAATGCGTATCATCGTGCCTGAGATTGTGAATAGCCATGGTTGATGACATAAAAGAAACCTTGTGTAGTCAACGCTTCCCGTAGCTTAAGAGCCAATTCAGCGCGGCCTTCCGCTGTGTGCGCTTTGGCGATATCAATGATAACCAGATCTGCATAATCCACTACAGAGAGTCAATTCAGACTAAAGTTCGAATATTTCTGTAAGGACAGCATAATACTTACAAGGTTCATTGGTCGGGGCGGCAGGGGCATAATGCGGAATGAACGATGTGATTGTGCCAGGCATTGTCAAGCTATGGTGTTTGGAGAGTCGACGGTAAAGGATAACAATCAAGCTACAGATGGAGTTTGCGAAGAACTCATGCTGTTATACTGGCGCGAGGGGTCACATCAGATTCGCTGAATCTGTCGCAACGACTTGCAAGACTCTGAGAAGATAGTACTAAGTTTGGTGCGAAGTCAACTGACCGGCCAGATCAGTGCTCCAAAGAAGCAATTTTGTGGGTATGCATTGAAAGCAAGGATCAGGGGAGCCGTTTGCATTGCCAATGACAATCGGGGATGAAAAATACCACAAAGGGGGTTCATCTAAGTACCAAGTACTAGGCGTCCAAGGTCTGCCCAAGCCACAAATTTCAAGACAGCGGATTCTCTTCATATGCAAGGTTGGCGGCAGAAATAGGAAGCACGGCGACCACGAAGTCTAGTTATCAGTGATAAACATGCCGGTGTTATGTTCTTAGATATTCCAGACCTCCAAGGCGAACCAAAAAAACAAAAACAGCTTTTGGTAGCCCGGCTTAGAAGGCAGATAAAGCCACGACTCTGTATCCCAGAATCCAAGGCGAACCACATGCAGACTCGGCGGATGGCATGGTCAGAAAGAGTCACCTAGTAGCCAGGTATCCGTAGATTCCCTACACATATTAAGCTCCCAGAATGTCGAGGCTGATGACGCTAGTAGGTATGACGGTATGTAGAGGTATCAATTTGCAGAAGGGCTTCAACTCTTTCATCTGAAAGGTGGAGCCTAGTTGAAGGAGCATACCATACAGCCATATATGAGCCAAACGAGAACCGGTTTTAAATATCCAATTATCAACGATGCGAAGGGCTCCAAAAGTCGAAGGTGAGTCCAGTAATTCTACCGTTCTATCTTCATACACGTTCAGGGTAAACCAACTTCGCAATGTGAAGCCATCCAGCCTAGGAATGATGACCGACCGGACTGAGTCGTTTGAGAGACGACGGTGATGCAACGGCGATGTGTAGTGTGGTCGTGAGTGCTGCTTTCAGTCTGTCGAACGTGAAATTTTGAATCCATGGGTGGGTGGGTACGCATTGAAACCCGTAAGCGGCGAGTCGATGCTATCCTCGCAGAGAAGGTCGACGGTGTGATCACAATTCTGTAGACAGGCGGGGATGATCTACTTAAATACTGTGATTGATACAAGAATTCGATAACACAGTAGCACGCACTGTACGTTTGATCTAAATATCCATGGCGGTGGATGCGGATGTGAATATCAATCGCGGCGGGCCACCATCGCCGTGGCAGCGAGCACGTGAGAGGAAACAGGCGGTGGCTGGGCAATGGCGCTGCTCCACCACTAAATAGTGCCCTGCATTGTGCAACGCAAGCCGTTTCAATTTCTCCTTCGAGCCTTCGAGCCTTTCTCGACGACCTGCTCACGAAGCCTGTCCAGCCCAGACGACGCAGAGCCGTGTTCACTTCTTCGCTCTTTCACCAGGCTCCATGCTCAGGCTGTTCGCCCACGGTCGCTACCTTCTTTTCCTGGCGCTGGTCTTTGCGCTCCTCTTCGCTCCTCTGGTCTCTGCGCAATATGTCCATGCTCGTAACCCGCGTTCCGTCCTACGGCGAGATGGTATAAATTTCCCCAGTATTTTCTCGTCTCCCACCAATACGAACACCGCAACGACGTCAAGTCCCACTGATACTAAGACCACTGACGCGAAGACGACCCAGACCACTACCTCTAATACCGTGACATCCACGTCAGACTCATCTACCAGCACCACAAGCACCCCCACAAGTACTTCACCTACAACTAATACCGACTCGACATCCTCTCCTGGCGACACGTCGACTACGCAAAGCCCGCAGCAAACCACCACTACTTCACAGACCAACTCGCCAACAAACACTGACGCTCAGACTACTTCTTCAACAACTCCTCCGGCAGCCAAGTCGTCTGTGGTTACCACTTCCCTGACGACCAACGCGGATGGTCAGACCAGTGTTGTCTATGTCACAGTACCGGCGGCCTCCGCAGCTGTTAGCGCGCCCAACCCGAGCGCTACCTCCTCTAATGCATCTTCCTCTGGGCTCAGCGTTGGTGGAATTGTCGGATTAGCCGTTGCAGGTGGTGTGGTTTTGATAAGTGTTCTTGCGTTCGCCATCTTCAAATTTAGCCGGAAAAGGTATCTCGACGAGTACGATGATGGTGAGTTCTTCGTCATCTTTGAGTTTCTAGGTAGCGAGGCTATCGTTGGCAATGTTTGCTATGATCCCATGCGCCTGGCAGGCCGCTCTCAGGACGGTAACCATTCGCCTTATTGCTCGGCAACGCGGCAGACGTCAGATTCCGCTGCCGATCACGGACTTTACGCCCAGTTAGCAAGTCAATCATCTTGTAGAATTTTTCTGCGACTTGTCTTCTTTAGTTCTTCTTTCGCTTCTATTTTTTTCTGACGTTACTCACCGCTACTCGCCCACCCTTTCAGCTGAAGCCATCAAGTGGCCCGAGCTTAACGCGAGCCACGGAGACAACCTTCACGCGCTGCCCACGCATCGCACCGGCGGTTCCGGCTTCGAAACGTCTTCGGAGGTGAATCTCGCCCGGCCAGATTCGCGCGCAGGCAGCATTGCACCATCCGCAGCCAACTCCGCAGCCGACTTATTCAATCAACACGACCCATATGCCGTGCCGCCGCTTCCACATCTCAATCCCAGTGTGGGTGGTGTGCAGCCGTACCGCGACGATCCCTCAGCGGGATACTACGACCCGTACAGCGGCCCAGTCCCGAACACGCTCGATGGAGAGGCAATACCCATGACGCAGATCGGTGGACGTGCGCGGAGTCCGATGCCTGGTGGCATGGGTATGGAGGGCGGAAGGATGTCGCCAGCACCAGGTATGGCCGGTGGGAGGATGTCACCGGCGCCGAGTGTCGCGTTAGGGCCGCCAATGAGCGGGATGCGGGCAGTAAGCCCTGGACCTGGCGCAGGATATGGCGCGGGTGCCTACGGAATATGACGAACGTATGGCTGGTCCATGTCTGAAAGAGGACAAGAGTAGGTTAGGTGGAGCTTTGGAATGCTTTCGAGTCGGACTTTAGTAGGAGTATGCGCTGTTTATTGAGGATTGAGGGCGGAAGGGGTGGGCAGATGCGGGTAATTTTCGGATACTGGTATCCTTCGAGTGCGTCGTGTTCTGGTTATGCGCGAATGGCATCGAACGCATCAGTCCGTCCGTTATTTCGTCTGCTCTGTTGTGAAGTCTGCTTACCGAGAATATCTTGAACAGTCGTTGTGGGCAGCTCATGTTACTGTCTTCAGTTGCCGGTACTCTGTCCATTATCTTCTCGTCTAACGTCCAACTCGTCGTCACTCCTTCTCGGAGTGTTATTGAACCATTTCTGCCTCTTCCACTGATGTTCCCTTGGTTAGCAATCTCATCTCATCGCATTTCAGCTTATTTGCATTTGGACTTTCACTCCCACTCGCATATCCGCATAATCACTATAGACGGCTGTAGTGCCTCTTCGTGTGCTCATACAACACTAATGTTTTGCGTATTATATTGTCTGGATATTTATGCATTGACTCAATCATACGCCGAGCAGCATTTACCCACCCAAGTCGTTGGACGCATGGGTGAGGTGCTAACTGCGTCGATATTGGACTTCAGGGTAAAATATTTTGGATGATCTGATGGCGTGAGAGGTGGTCTAAGGTCTACTACAAGTGAGACAACAACATCCTCGTGAATTTACGCGTCAATTTCCATACTTCTACTCCGTTTCTGACTTTTCGTGTCTCGTACGCATTTTCGGATGCCTAGATGGGGCTAGACCCTCGCAGACAAGAGAAGACGAGTACACGGTAGAACATGGGTTCGCATGATCCCATGAGTCACCGGGAAAATATCTTGTCCGATGCCATACACTGTGAATGTACGAATATGCTAGAGAGCCGGTGATTTGGACATGAAGCGCAGATCGAGTTGGGTATATAAACGCACAACCAGTTCGTCCTCGAGACTCTGTACGGTCCGACAAAGATGATCATGCCCAAGATAGGCGAGGATGCTCCAGGTATGGAGCAGCCAGTCCGGAATATTCGACATTGGGCAATGAATGACCTCATGCTCGCCGCTCCTGGCTGAATATTGGGCTGCACCTGGCCGTTTGTACGATATCTGCGAGCACGACATCTCTGCCTAGGACGGGGCCAAAAATGAGCAACGCTCGTACCGTGCGAACGAAGTCTTATTGCGTGACTGATCAAAACCCCACGTTCACGACCAGTCAATTTTGCGGTGAGTGTGGGATGGATCATGGACCTACGTGCGGTGAATTTTTAGTTTGTCGACAAATATATTAAGTACAGAGAGATGAAACTGTCGAACGTTATTGTAACAAACGCCATTGGCTGGTATCAATTTGATTCCGAGAGACTCTCTCGATCGTCGGTCCCGAGACGAGAGCATTGTTTGGATGCAGGGCGGCCGATGCCGAATCCCGACACCGCACCGACATTTGCACTGAGGGTCGACATTCAGAGGTACACTTGGAGTCAGCACCGCGCCCACATGTCTGACTGAAAGCGCACTAAAACAGGTCAGCATCACCACGCTGTTTATAAGCCTAGTTTGTCTGCATTTGGAGCTCGGCACGAGCCGATGGCAATTACTTAGTCTCGCATGCTCTATTTCTCTCAAAATGATGGCTTGTTGTTCGCAATCCACCAGTGTGAGGCTCGACTCTGACTCAAAGACGCGTGTGGCTCGTTGAATAGAACTACTGAGTTGCCTGTAACCTCTAAGACAAGCTGTTCAGCGACAAAGTTGAGAAAGAGCTAGGATATGAAATCCCGCAGAGCCGTGATAAATCTTCCACGAGAATGGACTAGGATCAGGGATGCAGTGGCCGCCGACATGATTAACCAATGACCTGCCGTCACTCCACGAGTATGATTCAATGGTTAGGGCGCAGTACAGGCAAGCCTGCTCAAAAAAAAAACAGAAACCAAAAGGCACTTCGGACGATCACAATGCAGTGAAGACCTGTGAGAACAGGCAATCAGTTCACCCTGCAAATGGAGCTGATAAGGGCACTGCACTTATGTACAATCACCGATGAGCGTGCAGGAGCCCGGGGCTCACCAGCGGAATGGCTACAACTTGGCAAGTACATGTCGCTTAGCTTGGTGTGATTATTAGCCGAGGAATGCACGAGTTACTGCACGAAAGGCCGCAGGTCATAGGGCTGCGCGGGCGAAACCCGACGACTCCGGCCGTCCTTGCTAATTATCCCAAGCCAGAAGTCCGCACGGCATGATCGACCAGGCCGGAATGTAGCAACACTGGTACCTCATGGAGAGCAGCGTTCTTCAAATGCTAACATCCGCACGGGCATGCTGTTTCCATTAGCTAGGATATCCGGACATTGGCATTCACATCATGACTGGTTGCAGAAAATACGTACGACGTTGGTCAGGGCGGACAATGAGCACCGCCCAGCGCGACATTACATTCCTCCAGTCAAGTATGTCGTCCTCGAGTCTGCACGCTCGTTGTTGAATGTGCCAGAGCGTGGTTAAGCCGTTACCTGGCTAACATGTGCTCTTATCCGCTTAGCTTGCATCAAAGTCAGTTTTACGTCAAATTGGACGACCAGAAGCTGGCGGCAAACATTGAAACAAAACGAAGTATTCCATTTCCAAGAAACAACCAAGTGAGGTATTCGTTGACGCTTGAAGAGGATAGCCAATAGTGAAGTATTTGACCGTCGACCGGTCGTCGCCAACCCACGCTAAGTCCGACAACTTATATTACTGGATTGTGTTTGAAAAAAAAAGGAAAAGAGAGAAGACATCTGACGGGTGTTACAGCAGAAATTATGTGCTCACAGTGCGTAATGAAAAGCGTCCCCATCTCGTATTTTCAGGCCAAGGTGAGATCGTGGTGGTCCTCGTTGAAGTTGACTCTGAGAGCGCGGCCATTCACGTCGACCGAAGCGCGTCAGAGTCACATGGTGCGTAAATACGCGTTTGTGGCGGATCGCGAACCGCCGTGCCAGTGCGCCTCAAGAGTCGCCGGCTCAGCGGTAACATACATGCATACTTGAAGATGATCCGTCTATGCGCCCTGAATATCGATTTCATCTCGCTGCTTTTGTGCTGATTCATATCAGCATCCATATTCACCGCCGTTGACAAAATAAGACACCATGCGCCAGCGGTCAAACCTGCGTCCAGAAGGAGGAGTAGTTCCATGACCATTGATATCTGCGAGGGCGTCTTACGCGGTACGGAAGAACTACAAAAGGGTGATCATCAGTCAGGTGAGTCCGCATATTGCACCTGATTATCCAAGGGGAGCTGAATGCATGATAGTGGGCTTATGATTCGGTGCATTACCTATGTGCTGGCAAATGACGCTGTATGCGAGCGCCTCGCCCGCTGACCCTTGCCCAGTTGAACCACATCCCGGCCTGGTGCAGATACACATACAACCTCGGGCGGTGCTTGTGGAATTGCCGCCAGCCGCACAGACTGAGACCAACCGGGTAGATATTCGCGCAATGAGCGTGTCGGACATGAGGCGAGTCGGAAGGGTTGCGGTCCCCCATCTTGTGATCTGGACCACTTATCCGCAGACGAGAAGATCCTCTGACATCTCGACACTGCCGCCTCGTTTTGGATTACTTCAGAGTACATAATAGCCGAGTAGCGGTAAATGCTTGCCAGTCATCGAGTTTTGCACCCTCTGACGGGCGTCCACGCTCTCGCGTACTCTTTCTCCTCCTTGTGCTCGATATGCCAGTACCCGTATCGAATGCCAACTATTTTGAGGTCTTAGATCTCCAACCCGATAATGCTGGCATTGAGGATATCAGAGGCGCATACAAGAGGCTTGTGAGCGCTGTCGGTTGGCACCGTTGGCGCTGGCGCTCACTGCGACTTATCCTAGGCTTTGAAGTGGCACCCTGACCGCCATACTACTGATAAAGAAGAGGCACAACAGAAGTTTGTTGAGGTGAGCCTCGGACAGCCTAGATGTATTTTGTGATAAGACTGGTCTGACAATGTTGTGTCACAGATCAACGAAGCTTACAAGACACTTTTAGATGCATTTGAACGTCAGAGTCGTCATACATCATCTCAGTCTAAAGCTCGTCATCGCTCCCCAACTCCGAGTGCCGCTTCGTCTTGCAATGAGAGCAAATCCGCTGGTTCAGAGTCTGGTACCAAGAGCACGCAGGATGACAACGAACAGTGAGCTTATAGTGGATCTACATGTGACTGTCTTATAACGTATATTAAATGTCAGACCGGCAGAAGAGCAGGCTCAACGCCCCACACATCCTACCTCGCCTCCAGCATCTCCTAAGAGCAAGCCTCAGAACTGTAGTTCCCCCAATTCTGGGGATTCTTCATCCGCACATTCAAAGACGGGGAATCGTGGGCAATCGCCGTCCCGTCCAACGCATGATGAGCAGCCGCAGCCATCGTCATCACAATTTAGGAATGACTCGCGTGGACATGCTGCTTCTCATAATTCTAGCAACAATTCACATGGTTGTTCATCATCCTCACATTCCAAAATGAACTCCGATGCACAGTCAACCTTCTCATCCGCCAAGCATGATTCAGATGCTCATACATGTCACTCGTCGCATGCTCCTCAGGAAGCTCATAAACGGCATACACGCTCTCGAAAGCGGCACACACACCAGTGGTCCGAGGATGGGTGAGTGTATTGATTCCCAGAACATATTTTGACATTGACATCCTCCCACTCCAGCGATTATCAGCACAGGGCTGCTGAGACCTCGCCAAAACGATCGAAGCTTGACGAGGATATGATCGACTACGAGATCATCAACCTTGGAACACCCATTGCACCACTTCGTTCGCACGGATCGAAAGGACAACTTTCAGAAGACTGGGCCTTTCCGCTGCATCTTACACTCGAAGACATCTACTTCGGAACGACACATCGTTACCGAATCACGCGTACTCTGCAGTCTGAGAGCACGCAAAGCGTCAAAATTGATGTTCGCGTCTCGCCCCGCTGGCGTAATGGTACTCGTGTGCGCGTGGCGGGAGCTGGGAACCAACGAAAGGACGGGACGTTTCAAGACATCGTCTTCATTGTGGAGGAGGAGCCGCATCCACGGTTCAAGCGCGTCCATGATGATCTGGTCGTTTCGGTGCAAGTTCCGTGGATAGATGTGCGTCCTTGCCCGCGTGTGTATCCGTCACGGGGAGACTGCGAGAAATCCGTACGGGAGGACGAGCTGTACGTGCAAGGGTTTGACGGGGAGGAGTACGTGCTGTCCATCCCACGAACACTTGTTGAAGGTGCGGACGGGACGCGCATCATTGGCGCCGGGATGCCTATCCACCAGGGCGGGAAGATTGCGGGGAAAGGCGATTTGATTGTCAAGTGAGTGATCTGCAGTTCGCTCGTTTCGTTCGGCCTTGAGTGACATTGTGTGATTAGATGGGATTTTGTGTTCCCAAATGTGGAAGGTGCCCAACGTTCACGATGGCAAGGCCTGAAGAAGGCGATGTACTGGAGATCATGAGTCATTTCATTTTCTGGTTACAGCGAGTGCTGTTGTTATCTGATAGCCCTGAGGGCAGCTTGGACAGTTGTCTGGTGCGGTGCACAGTGAAAGTATCTCTTTGGCTCAGTAATCCCGTAGGAACGGACTACGTGTGTATTCATTATTGGACTTCTGTTGGCCATTTCTTTCCTCTGGATGTATCACCACCATGTAAGACTAGTAGCTATTTCTTTTGATCATTCTCTAGGTTCACTTATGCCACGACTGGAATGAAAACTTAGGCGTATATGCAACTGATTAGGGTCGTCGGATGAGAGAATCGCATGATACGATATGAAAACATGTAGTAACGTAATAATAGTAATACAATAGCAAATCGGATTATGATACTAGAGGTACAAGGATATTATCGTTGAACGGTTATACATTACATCAAACTTCATGCCGATCTCCAATGCTGCTCCTTACGAGCTCGCTGTGGCCACTGAGGACTGCCAGCTCCTGCTCCTCCATAATTTCCCTGCCCATTTCCTCACAGTTCTCAAAATCGGGACTGTTGGGCACCTTCCCACCAAAGATGACACTAGAATTCGTTCTACGCTGATGGGGGACTGTCATGTTCACGGAAGAGTCCGACGCGAATGCTATCGTCGAAACGTGCGTGCGAGTCCGCAGTATGTCCATCGAACGCACGAACGAAAGTTCCTCGGGTCCAAATTGGCCATGAGTGGACAGCACCGTGCCGCGAACGTCCAGAAGAAATCTGGAAACTAATATTGAGGTAACACTGGAAGAAAATTAGCGAAATGTCGTGCTCTTAGGTATTTTTGGACTGACACTACGAGAAAATACGATGTCTCAAAATAATGCTGCGGTCGAACCATGTCAGCTAGCAAGATTGACACTTCAATCGAAGATAACTTACACTGAACAACCAGTAGTCAAGTAAATCAAAAATATCGAGAAACGCTATCGTACTGTAGAATATTAGCTTGGAATCAATTAGTCCGCGCAAATGTTCACATACATGAAGTAAAATGTGCCTAGTCAGATTTCTGAGATGAATGATGCATCTGGTGATTCAAAGATAAGACACACCGTCTTTCAGGAGCAGTCTGGTCAGTCTTGGCTTAGATCCTAAAGTGGGCGGGCTCATTTGCGCGACATCGTACATGTAATACCAAGTGACAGCGAGAACTATGCTATCAGATGCCAAGCCACAAGCACGAGTGATTGTCGCAACTATCACAATACAGATAACGCTCAACATCAGCTAAGGGTCGAATTAGCGCGAAGGGATATTTACATCTACACAATATCTAGAATTAGAGGTTACTCGCAATGGAGAAAAATTAGTATTACCTGTTTGCTGTTTCAATTGAGATGGCACTTTCGCCAACACATGCTGGAGATTCCGGCAAGGGGAACATTATGTATGAAATTATTGTCTGTTGATACTGCAAACATGCATGGAACACTGAATGGGTGGCTCACTGTCATAAGAAAACAGTGACTCACCACGTTGGTGCCCACAGGTACCATGCCAAGAGCAAAAGTTAGTGTAGATAAGTACCATTTTTGACCAGATACTGCATGGACACGGAGGGCTGAAACAACTGAGAAGAATCAGTGTCGTCTACTGCAGGTGCCAACAATTCAGCAAGTACCTGCACATATTATAATGCTGGAAAGACCAAAGATCACATAGGTAATGTTGAAACCTGAACACCTGCAAAGGTCGACGTTATTAGCTAGAGTTCGCACTCGATATGTCTGCCGCACTGAACCTCTGCAATAATTATGCTGAGCGTACTGAAGCAATCGGCTGATCAGAGTTACGCACTGGGAGTGTGTTCTCCAACTCAACGGTAAATATTGTCGATAAAGCAATTCCAATCAAGGTACAGCGATTGAGGTAAAACATGATTGACGAGCTTGCTTTGCTGCCCCACACAAGCCGCACTTCCTCATTGAATGTTAGTGCATAGTCATACACAATCAGGACTATATAGAACAGCATGCTTCAATGATGCCTGGCAGCGTGGAAGGCATGACCGCTAGCATACTGACCGGCTATTGCTATCATGCTATAATTTTGGATCGTACTGCAGAGAAGATGAATATGAATAGTAGGAAATCATGAACCAAGGCAACCCTTACCTCTCCTTCACCACGTATGCTGCCTCAGCGGCGATGGCTTGCGCCTCCGAGTCGGACATGATGGGCGATCGGTTCTGACCTGAGAATCTACTGGCGATGAGTGTACCATCTTTATGTAGCTCAAGCTACGTGGAAGATCAAGAACCTAACGTCCTGGCACGGGGGCGGGGGTTGTTGCTTAGTGACAAACAATAGTTCGATCTTGGCGAACGAAGGCCAGGCAAGAAAGGATTTCTTGAATCGGTGCATATCTAGTACCTATACCGGGGGGGGAATATACATATAGACTTAGCCGACACGAAACTATCGTCACTGATTGGAACTGACCTATGGACTTGCTCCTCCCATCTAGAGCCCCATGCCCGTAGTGAGTAGCCTAAAATTGAAACCCAGCACTCACTTACCACCACCAGGCCGAACTTGGGGGTCAGTTTGTTCATCTTCCGGCAATACATGATCGTATCTAGGCATATCGCCGTCCTTTAGTGCAGTTCTCGGACATCTGATTGTCCCTTGCAACGCCGTCAGGTGGATAATCAGGCTTGGCCCCGCTCGAATATTGAAGGCCTGTCAATGTTATGGCAGGCATGATCACCTGGTTTCCCCAAAGGCTATGCTCGATTTTGGCTAATGAATCATTTCTTCGTTCGCAAGTCGCTCCTACTTCTCCTGTAGCTGTGGAGGGTTGGTAGCAAGTAGGAAGACAGTAGCAGTTGCCTGAGGACAAAGACGTCACCGACCGGCGCTCCGAGAGTTCGGATGAATGCCCGACGAGTTTGGACAAGATTTTCAGCCGTGAATCTTGCCTACTTAATGATTCAAGTACTATCGCATCACGATCACATCAAGTCCTCGCATCAAGCCCACCCGCTACTTAAAAATTTCTGAGCGAACGCTGCTACAAGGCAATCAACGGGCCATACAAAATCTCTACTTTAATATACACGATAGCCATACATAGATAGCCTGCAACAAAGCTTGTGATCACAGATCATGGAGTGAGCAGTAGGCGATATCAGCGGGAATGACAGAGCAGAACATAGCATTGACATATGTCATCACAAAACGTTGGAAAGTCGATCTTCCAGAGGGGTCGCGCCAACTTAATGGTGCTCAGGTCTTAACCCAAACATAGGCGTAACTTTCCGCATGCCAGGCAATACTGGACCTGGTGGCGGAGGAGCGGAACTCTTCGTGGGCGAGCTGGGAACGGAGTGAGCTGATCTGCTAGCATGGACAGGTGGTTGCGTTTTAGGTGTCCGGGCGACAGACTTGCGCATGCCTGAGGGAGGGGAGCCGATATACCGTGCGGTCGACCATGGTACTTCGTAGCCCGAGCGACCTGCGGCAGCGACATATCGTGCGATCTCCAGATGCAATGTAGGATAGTAGGTGGTGGAGGCCTTGCGTCCCATCTATGTCGCGCAGAACATCAGTAATGGCTGACAGTGGTTTTAATAACTGATTCACCAGAACGATACGTTCAATGCCAGATAGGAACATGTCCTTATGGAATTGGAACGCAGAGCACTCGTGGCCTGGAGGCATGCGGAGGTCCTCAGCTAATTTCGCAAGTGCGTTTATGAATTTGAAGTGAGTGGTCTAGGTCCAAATATGAGATATTCGACAACAGCAGCTGAAATGGTATCAATCCTTACCATGTATGTCATGGCCTCAAACTCAACACCGCCGGTCATGCCACCGGGCGCACGAGGCTTCTCCACTTTCGTATCATCCGTCTCTTCTAGGTTCCAGATGGTATTGTTCGGATGGCAAAAGACCCAGAAGTAATCCCGGCAGACGTTATTGAGTTCCTCCATGTAGGTCTTGTAGATCCGCGGCAGATGAATGCCCTCAATGAAAGCGTGTGGTTCGACTGGCAGGCTCGTCTGTTCGGCCGGAGGAGGCGCTTGAATAAGCAAGAGCGATTTAATGAGGGAAAACAGCGTCGAATGTGGAGCGGGAAGTGTAATTAAGCTACTTGATGCGGACAAGCTCACATCATTCTCCCATGGAACGGATTGTGAGCGTGCATGACCGAATGGCTGACTTGACGTTGCTGGGCTTCCTGCCGCGGGTAGCGAGGATGGTGGATATACGTCGAAGAGGATCAACAACAGTTCTATGATTAGCTGGCGAGTTGAAACTTCTCCTGGCCGTTTGTCAGAATATAATAGAGATATGAGCTGAGGGTATGGAGCAGGGCATTGGCTTCGCAAAGCCGCACAACCAATAGCAGATGTAGAAAATGCTTTGAGGCATCGGAGAAGCTCGTGAAGAATTTTGTCGCCATGTTGTTCCTCCCTGAAGGGCAATGAGGCTCATCATAATGCTAGGAGATTATAACATACCGCCATTCGACTTGTAATATTTCATCGAGACGGGTGAGCAAAGCAGAATAACCACCTTCTCTCAGAAACTCCTGTGTCCAACTCCAGTCTTGTCAGCACGATGTATGACTGAGACAAATGCACGGCGTACCTCAAAGGCTCGTTTCTTAATAGTACTCTTAGCTTCTTAGCAGTTTCGACCTCGAGTTGAACCGTCGACACGCTAGCAAGGATACTGGCCCACTTTGCCGGCGTGACCACACTAGTCTTGCCCCGCTTGTCCTTGGGCACTTTAGAAAGAGGCTCCGCCGTCACGTCGATGGGCTGGCGGCCGGCGTCGAATGAAACCCCTCGATTGTGAGCGCCCATAAATCTTGGGTGCTCTGGCGCACGAGAGAGGTCATAGTGCTGAAATGAGTGTTTTGCTGGCGGACGAGGCGAGCTCAGCGATTCGCTACTGTGGGCTTTGCGAAGTCCGCGAGGTGTTAGAGGGATATTAGGATTGGAATTGTTCATCATCGCCATCTCTTTGGAGGATTTGAGGAATGCCGCTTTGACGCTGGCGTCCATAGTTGCAAGTTTTTCGCGCATATTTTCAGGAATCTGCATGTCATCCTGGAGACAGTGAGTATCATAGCAGACAAGATGTCAGAGAATATGATATGGCTCCGAGATAATTTCCGTAACATAGGCAGCGTTTCTACCACCCGAGTAGAGTGATTTTACAAAGTACCTCAGCGAGTGGCGTGGTTAATGCCTCATCTTCCTGTCTGTCTCTAAGACTAGGGCAATTGATAGGCACACGACGGCCACCAAAACCAGGAATCACAGATATATATATATAACACCTGACATACCAGAAGCTTTTCAAATGCCTCGCTTGTTAGGTAGCCATTGACTGGCTGCTCCTTGACCTTGCGTTTCTTGGACTTTTCCGGTCGTGTGGTCCTAGCGTCAGCTGGAGGATGCGTTCCAGGAAAATTCTCCTTCCCATTCGACGCTGATTCCACAGGGCTAGTAACCATTTGGAAGTCCACAGAGGGTACTCGCCTCGAAGGCAAGAGACTCTTAAACATAGTGAGAGGTTATAAACTCTGGTGCGATTGCGGTTATCGGGGTGTCGTTCAAACGTTCGAACGTTCAGAATCAAGAGTTGTGGCTGAAGTTGAACATGCAGACGGCGCGTGGCCTCCTCAAAAGCGCGTCAGTCACATGGCCGCGATTCATCTCCCGCGATGGCACGTGATATTGACGACCTTGCAATTTCTCGATCGGGATTCGGGGCGGAGCAAATTTCGAGTTACTGTAACGCGCAGAATGAGCAACCTCGTCTCGTGTGTGGCATGGTACGTATTCATCACTGTGTAATGATAGAGGTGCTGATTGATACTTCAGGGTAAAAAGAGGTGTAGCTGCTCAAATTCCAGAAAAATACGAGCTCGATGATGGCGAGCTGCAGAGAGTTAGCGCGCTCGCGCGCATCGAGGTGGAAGATGCTCGCAAAGAACTCGAGTGGGCACACCGAGCCGCGGGGATGATGGGAAAGGGCGCAGAGGGTGAAGAAGCGGATGATGCAGACGAAGACGATGATGAGAATTCATGGGTCGAGTGAGTGGCTTTTGCATCCTCGCCTTGCTAATAGCAAATCTTGAGTTACGAATCTGAAGTGAAGATGTCGATGCAATGGACCAGGATGTGGCCATGGATGAGGATACCCCTGCCCCAAACCCAGGGAACAACTCAGAAAGCAAGGACGAAGACGATCTAGCAGAATACAACCTTGATGATTATGATAACGACGATGCCATTCCAGGTTCGAATCGTTCTAGTTTTTGGACGCGAAGGTTTCTCACGTCATTTTCCTATATAGCAATGGGTCCTTTTAGCAATATAAAAGGGTTGACATACTATAGGAACAACGATGAAGATCCGTACATCACACTGAAAGAGGTACGTGGATGCTAACAATCACCATCTCTGTCTCAATCTCTCTAAAGGACGATGAAGACGAACGCGAAGAATTGGAAATATTGCCGACGGACAATTTACTTGTAGCAGCAAAAACAGAGGACGAGATCTCACAGCTAGAAGTCTATGTCTATGATGAATCTGAGGAGAACTTGTATGTGCACCATGATTTAATGCTTCCCAGCTTCCCTCTCTGTCTCGAATGGCTTGACTTCCCTCCTATCACTTCTCCGTCCGCCCACGGGACTGCCGACTCACCTGCCAAACAGTTCGGCAGCTACGTAGCTGTAGGCACACTCGAACCCGAGATTGAAATTTGGTCGCTTGACGTTGTCGAGGCGATGTATCCCGATATGGTACTCGGGAGACCAGACAAGACAGCCGCACATATCCCTACGCCTCTAGGAACGGGCAAGAAGAAACGCAAAAAGGCGAAACACCGTGCGACATCTGCTGCTTACCACGTCGACGCTGTCCTCTCGCTATCATGGAACCGTACACATCGCAACCTCTTGGCGTCCGCTTCTGCAGATCGGACGGTGAAATTGTGGGATCTCAGTCGTGACCCAACGATCAACGGTGAAGGCGGTGAGGGCGAGGGCGCGCTACGGAGCTTCGACGTGCACAAGGACAAAGTGCAAGCCGTTCAGTGGAATGAAAAAGAACCTACTGTGCTTTTGACTGGATCCTATGATCGCACTGTGAGGACATTTGATTCACGGGCACCAGATGCTGGCGTGGGGGCACAACTTGGAGCAGATGTTGAAGCAATTCGATGGGATCCCTGGGAGGCACATGGATTTTATGTGAGTGTAGTATCAATCATGACTCCCTTACCGCTACTGAACTGTGTTTCCCTCATCAGGTTTCCCTTGAGAATGGCATCGTGCTCAATTTTGATGCACGAACCCTTCCTTCTGACTTGAAATCTCCGTCTCCTGCGCGCTTCACTTTATCGGCCCACGATGGAGCGGCTTCCGCCTTGGATGTGAATCCTCATATCCGGGGGTGTCTAGTGACAGGTGGCACAGACAAGATGGTAAAGGTATGGAACGTCAATGATGATGCCGACCTCAACAAGCGACAAGTCAGTTTAGTGATATCAAGGGATCTCGGCGTGGTAAGTATCCCAATGTTCACCGGTAAGAGAGCATAGCTGATGCCGAATTGATCAGGGCAAGGTCTTCTCGACCTCGTGGTCGCCGGATGACCCTCTTACTCTTGCTGCCGGTGGCTCGCAAGCTAAAGTGCAAATATGGGACATCGGGGCGAACGCTGGTGCACGAAAATCCCTTGCGCCGAAACTTGCCCAGATTGGCAAGACAGTGAAGGAGAAGACGGGCGGCGGGGTCATTGGTGTGGCTAGCGATGATGAGGATAGTAGTGGAGGCGAAGACGAGGAATAGTATATCGATCGTCTCGGCTTTGGTATCTCGCGTACGTTGGCATACAAGCATGACTATCATTGTTGTGATAGTGTAAGATGACTGAAGCGGGATCTATGATCTCTATTCATAATGAGCGTTCGTCGAACGGCCAACATTGACGATACACATTCAAGATATAATAAGTACAAAATTGAAGCCTGCGATTCTTAGTGCTTCTGATATTACCCAGTAAAACGAACAGTATCCTGTCTCTTTCGCTCGTGTGCCATACGTCCGCCCTGTCGATGATATATCCGGAGAAGAGCATTTCGGCACTGTGTACTACGTAGGCATCATTATATCCGAACGTATAGATGATTGACTCGTTACACCCCCTTAGTATAGAAGTATCGACGAAGCTTGCACTGGAACGCCAGCTCAATGTGACCATTTTCTAGGCGTATCACGACGAGCATGGTGGAAATTGGCAACTGATTGCCTTTTCTGCAGAGGTCCGAGGAGGACATTATCAGGTTGCCTGGATTTGTGGACTGGAGTGATCATCGCATTGATATTTACTTCAGCTTCTAGGCCTAGTTTCCAGAAGATACTGTACACCCCTGTGTATCTAGTATCGTGTCCTTCCTTAAAGCACAGAACCTGTTGCCTTATATCCTCTGATCTAATACAATTGATTTCGCATAAGTATATGACTGCTACTTCTTCATACTACATGAAGTCATCGGGGTTTGAACCAAAGTCATCTAGTGCCTCGTCATATACAGATGTATCAAACCTGTAGTTCAAGAGTGTTGCAGTAGAATTCATGTAGACAGATGATGATTACGCACTTGTTTGATATTTTCGTCGCGCCCAAGACCGGCTTCACCGCTGCTTTCGGATTCTTCTTCTTCCCTGAAGCTTTGTCTCGCTGCTCCTTCTGTTTCTCGTTCGCAAGGGTAGTCAGGACGCTTGCCGTTTTGCGGACCTCGACGTCCCGCAGTGGCATAGCCAATTCTCGCACATGATGCTCGAGGAAAGCAGCGTAAAGCGGTTTGCTCTGATGTCGCTTAATGATGTATTCGATAACCTTGTTCGAGAAATCTATGAAGTCCTCCTTCGTACGAGGTTGCGCAGAAATAAGAGAATCTAACTCGGAGGACGAAGTGCCTGTAGGATCCCCGTTTTGAGAATATGCGCGCATATATGGCATCAGAATATTCAAAAACTCACCTCCTAGGGCAGCCGAACCGAGGAGATCCGCTGCATTGCTCAGATCGGCATTCAGCTCCCGCTCCTTGTCCAGTCTTGCCTTGGCCCGCGGGTCCAGCACCGCATCTTCATCGTAATCTTCATCCTCATCGTCTTCACCTGCGGCTGCACGAGCTGCTTTCGCCGCCTCCTTCGCCGCTAATACAGCTTTCAGTGTCCCCTTCTTCTTTGGCGGTGCTACAGGCGCCGCTGCCGGCTTCGGCTTTTCCTCCTCGTCTGAGGATGCCTCCCAGTCGCTCTGATCAGGGCGATCGTTACGTGGATAAGCGGTCAAACATAGCGTAAATACCCTAGAGAGAACGTACAACCGGCGCACTGTCTTCTTCGTCTTCGCCTTCCCATCTGCTCTTTACCGGCTTTTTAGCGACGGGAGCAGGCGCGGCGTGCGATTCGTTCTCGGATTCCTCTGCACATCTTACACTTGTGAGAAAGTAAACCAGAAGTGAATATGGAGGTAACTACCCCAGTCGGACATTCCGCAGCGATTCGAGCGAAGACGGAGGGCTCAGCAGTATAGAGGGTAGGTCGCAACAGTATTGTCCGAGATTTCCTGCACCCAGATCCCGATTATACTAAAATTTCGGCAGATGCCGAGAAGCCATCGAATGCGCGGAGTCTTAGCAGAAATAGTTGGTGTTCAATCTTAGTCCACAACTTGAACAGAAATCAACACCTTTAGGTGCGAACATTGAAAATATTCCATCGATCAACTAGAAAATTCATAACTACAGTCCGCAAATTCTCCTGTAGACCAACTAGAACATCCGTAACTACAGTCCGCGAGGCTTACTGGTACAAGCAGGATCTTAGATAACGATTCGGAAATAATCCCGGGACTCGACAAAAGCCCTTCACTTTGACTTGATAGCATCCTTGATCATATCGGCTGCTTTCTCGGCCATAGCGATAACCGGGGATGCCTAGATTCAGAGGCTCATCAAACCCAAACCATAAAAGAGAGGCTGTGTAAAGAGGACACTGACCGTATGACCTGAAGTAATTGTCGGAAATGCAGACGCATCCACGACCCTCAAATTCGGAATCCCATGAACGCGCAGGAAAGGGTCTACGACGCCACCGTCCTCCAATGGAGCCATCCGTGCGCTGCACGCCGGGTGATATAGTGTTTCCACTCGATCTCGTATAAACTCGACAATCCTTTCGTCGCTGGCTAAGTGCAACCCATGATCGAGGAGCGGATCCGTATCGCCACTGGGGTCAATGAGGGATGCAAAGGGCTCGGTGCGTGCGATGCGAGTTACTAGGCGTGTTGCACGAACGAGAACGTCGATATCATGCTTCGTCGACAGGTACCTGGAGAATACACCAAAATGTATTCATCACACTGGGCAGTATATGTATAAGAGGAACCACGTACTCAGGATCAAGAACTGGCTCATCGCTCGGGTCGGAAGAAATTAGTCGGACAGTGCCTTTGCTGGTAGGTCTATGAGGACAGGTCGGAATGAGTCCCACTTCTCAGTAGATTGAAACATACCTGAGAAGTACGGCGTGCAAGGCAAAATAATGACCCTTTGGGAACATACGAATCCCATGCTCCATATATGCAACAGGTGTATGGAAAAACTCGATATCTGGTGCTCCGGGGCCAGACGTCGTATCCTCGATGTCTTCCTCGATGGGGAAGTCGTTCGGCGGAAAGAGCTTCGGATCCGAGGAGCGCACAAAGCCTGCAGACTCGGCGGGCTGTGATGTATTGGGACGTCAAGAGGATGTCTACTTTTGAGGCAATGTTTCATAGGAACGGACTTACATTCGTTGTTAGGAGCCCTCTTCCCGTAAGTTTATATTGTATAAGGAGGGCCAGCGCGATGAAGATATTGTACGGCGTTGGATTAAAACGGGGATTACCTGACGATATGCCAGATAACAGCGCCCGGCTCTTATCCTTATAATGGAAGTCGATGACGGGATGATCCATGAGATGCGAGCCAACGCCAGGAAGGTCAACGAGCACGGGTATATTGTGGGATGCGAGATGATCAGCTGGGCCAATTCCGGACAGCATAAGGACCTAAATTCTGTATCATCACGCCGGAACGCCATTCCTCCGCGTATGCAACTTACATGAGGCGTATGTAGCGCACCGGCTCTAGAGTCAGGTTAATTGTATAGTTGTGTGTGCAGCGTGTACTAATACTTACGAGACGATGACCTCCTTCCTTGCTCTCACCTCATAGAGTTCGCCAGCATTGGTGTATTGGACGCCGACAGCGCGCAGTCCAGATCCATTGCTTGTGTTGTCAAATATGATGCGAGCGACTCGCGCTTTAGTGGCCACCTTCAAGTTAGGCCTCGCAAGAGCCGAGGGTGTCAAGTAGGAAGATTCCGTTGTCACACGACGTCTGGAGGAATCCATAAACGTCACTGCGAGAGCTTAGTATATCCAGCAGTCTGAATGTGATATTAAAAACCTTACTTAACTGGGTCAGGCACCCGAAAGTCAATTAATGCTCCTACACCAAACTCAGATCTACTCGAACATACCTTATTTACACCAAGTGTCCCTCGTGATGTATTGAAATCAGGATTTGGAGAGACACCCGCATTGGAACAGGCTTCCAAGAAAACTTTAGTGCTCGCTGCGGTGTGGCTAAAGTAGCCAACTCATCAAGCAGGTGTGAAATGAGGTACCGGATACTGAAATTATGGTGCACTGACCATTTACAGGGCCAGTAAAACTTCTTGAAGTGAGATCTGTAGGACCGTATGTCTTGCTCGGATGGAACTTTTCAAATTTGAGGAAGTACCTGCGTACAGAATGCATAAGCTTTAATATATATTCGGAGACATGATTACTTACCGGTTAAATTCCTTGTATGTCCATCCCTCGGCACCTTTCTGACCTTTCTGATATTCGGCCCATTGGTCAAAGTCTGACGGAGCGCCGTGGTGGAAACTTCGTAACATCAGGACGCAACCTCTACGAACAGCATTACCCGCTCACATCATGGCATTGATGGCAGAACCTACAATCATGAACGGCATTGTAATCACCCTCCGTTGTCAATGCGTTCAACGTGTAACCACTTACATCCACCCAGTAGTTTTCCTGCAAACAAAGTGATGGGAATTTTAAATACGAGGCTATCGATATTTAGAAATCATATCACCTCTCGGCCAGAATTTGACCTTCGAGAACGCATGATTTTGTGGGACGGTGTACAGATTATAGTCATGCTGTGAATGGAAAGCGTCACCATAAATCGCAGGGATCTGCGCAAACGACATCTGCGAAGAACTGCTTTGACTCGATACATGGTCTCAACAAAAGTAATAAAGACGTCTCAGTACCTTTCTCCCGCCTCGAGTAACAAGACGCGGACGTCTGGGTCTTCAGACAGTCGAGAGGCCAAGACACACCCTGCAGTGCCTGGAGTTTACGTTGAAACCTAGAGTTCGCTCGTAGAGATGGGCATAATAACATACCTCCTCCTACTATGACAACATCATACTCATGTGGCTCGTACTCGTTCTCAGTGCGTTTGATTCTGCGTCCCACACGCCCAGGCTCCGTGATAATGTCTCGAATAGCAAAATGCGCCGAGAGGCGTTGGCGTAGCACAATGGTAAGCAAGAGCGCTGCAGAGGAACCAATGATTGCCCTAGCAACAGAGACACGGCGAAGCAGGGCGATGACCCGTTCGATGGTCTCGGTCAGAGGACGATACCCAGCCATCGTACTCGGCCAACCTTGCGATTCTAGTCCAAGCTGCAAGCACTTAGATTAAGGAGCGCTGGATTGCGGAGCGGCAATACAGTACGTACTTGAGGCGAGAAACCTACACCGTGACCAGATATTCAAGTTCCGGCGTCCGACCGGCTTCAGCTTCTTCAAGTCCGAGCTTTAGCGTTCCCACCTCCCGTCAGGATAAACGTATTGGTTGTACGAGATATTTGTCCCAAATATATTCATGTACCGCAGGATTCAGAATACCATATAGGCTATGTTTTACATCCTGCTTGTCGGATATCGAACAACATCATGCGTAGGTAGGTGTAGGAATTTCCTTCAGCTTCTTGCCCTCCTTCTGCTTCTCTTCGGACGCGCGCAAGAGCACTGATGTTGCGTTCAATCAGCACCGATATCAGTTCCTGACGACACGCGCGTCCACTAGAGACACCAGCGTCTGACTGGCAGAACAATGTGACGAAACCCAAGCAATGGCTCCCAGCCTGCAACGAGGAGACACCGAGACAGCCACTTGCGGACATGCACTGTCCACGCATTGATACCGCCGCGAACACTGTGCAGCATCCCCGGATCTGGCCATAATCCAACTTGTTCTCAGGTGCCAGAAGACGACCCGCGAGCGCTGTAGTGAGTAATGAGCCATGAATGTTCTAGTTCTGCAAAGAACGCCGAAGAAATATTCAAAATTGAAGTAGCTGCAGAAATTACGCATGAAGAATTTGAGTCGCAGATGACACGAGGTGTCATCTGTGAGACTCGGTACTCTTGAGGGGGAAAATATACAAGACCGAACCTAATCATTCCGTTAAAACATAGTGGTACGAACGATGACAAGCAACAAAGATGTACTAGGGCGTCCCATGTCAGTTTACAAGAATCACCAGATGGACTCACATGAGGTAACCAGTTTCTGGATATGTTGCACACACAGCCAGCGCTGCCCAGGTGGACTAATATGATCAGATAGCTGGTGGGTCTATGCCTATTGATTGCCGCTATCGCAAATTGTAGATTTGAGTGTCAAATATTTGAACATGGTCAGAGTTAAAGGATAGCCGCTCTCGAGTTGTCGCCGCCGACGAGTAGACGCTGTATAACGGCTAGCCCAAAGCAGAGAAACGACCATGGTCACATAGAGTAAGATGTTCCGGCGAAGTATCAATGGCTTGTTTTCCATGGACCCAGGTCGAAACACATACACCGAGCCATGCCGACGACGGTCGGGACGAGGTGCCAGCTTTGAGCGATGGACTTAGTATCCGCCGACGAAGCTGTGACCTAGCACAATGATTAGGAGAAAATATTATCTCCTGATACTAAAGTTACAGAGACGTATGAACGTACGCAAATTCGATACGTTGCGCTCCATCATCACGACTATAGCAGCATAGGAACAGTGTGTAATGATGTTCGGACGGACAAGTCCCAGCAATTTTGAACGAGAAAACGAAGCTGCAAGTGGGAGACATACATTGTGGCATCACCCTTCCGGAAGAACATTTGTGACGAGGCGACGTCTGTGCAGACAATGCGGCGCTCTGGATCTACTCCAAACCCAACAGAAAACCCACTCTCTCCGTTGGCAATACGTTTTCTCTTCAACTGGGCAATAATTCGCCGTATTCTCTTGGAGGTTATAGATACATAAATCCTCAGCTGATGCGTCTCGCGCAATCATCCCAACTGAGAATAGTGGATGTAAAGTCGAAGCCCGTAGCGAGTGAAATAGTGGTCATGGAGGAGCAACTGGAGCCTGACTCGGAGTTGTAGCGTCGTCGTCTGTGACGGAGCCGTGCAGTGATAAGATTAGATTGCGCAAGCGTACAGATCCGGGAGACCGCCCACTTACCGCCCATCGAATCCAACGGTCTCCACCGAGGACCCACCCCTCAGCTATCTCGCACCTGTTCTGTAGTCTATCCTTATTCTTCACGACCTTTGTATGACTTCTCTCTCCAACGCAACAAACAATGTATCGCCCCGCGCTGCGCTTCGCCCTTATCCTCTCCTTGATATATGACTGCTCCGCAGTTGCAGCCTACACCGCTGCCCCCAGGTATGTTGCTTTTCGGCGCGTATTCGGAGCTGATGGAGAGCGTATTGTAGATGGGGCCAAGCTTCCGTGCTTGTAGAGGATATCTTGTACATCCAGGGTGGCAGAACGGACCTGTACAATCAGTATTCATATTCATCTGCTCCTCCGACAAACGACATGCTCGCCCTTTCCCTAACGACTTCATTCAATCTCTCTTCTCCCTCATGGAGCCTCATTAGTGGGTGCTCCAACTGTTCCTCCTCCCAGGGCCCCGCCGTGGCCTGGCACACCTTGTCGCCACTCAACACCACTTCTATGCTTCTCTTCGGCGGGGATTTGGGGCCCAATTCAGCGATAACCGTTCCAGAAGCGGCCAACTCGGCTGGTCTAGTAAACGTCGCGCACGCGCTCTCACCTATATGGGACGACGAATCAGAGTCGTGGGCAGACGAGTCGCTGCGACGCATGTACCACTCGGCGTCTGCCACAGGCGGGAAGGTTTACATTGTCGGTGGCGAAAAGACGGACGGCTCAGGTGATGCGTTCTCAATCCACTATGTATTCGATCCCTCTATTCCCTCATTCTCCGCGCTGCCGTCCACGAACGGCCCGCCAGGCATATACGGACACGCCTCGGTTGTGCTTTCAAATGGGCGGCTGCTGGTCTTTGGCGGCTACGAGGAATTGAGCGGTACCCTGCTTCCATTCTCGACGGTGTGGTCTCTGGACACAACGCAATCATCGCCCAGTTGGTCTCTGCTTCCTGTGGCCGACACGAGTCTGCCCACTCCGCGCCGCGGATTCGCTGCAACGCTAGTCGACGGCGGCAAAGTCGTCATCCAGGGAGGTGCTGATGCGCAGCTCGAGACATCGTATAGCGATGGCTGGGTGCTGGACACGACCACGAGTCCGATGGTCTGGACCCAGGTGGCCGCCTTATCTGAGCTCGGCCCTCGGCGGGATCATTTCGCCGTCGGACTGGGCACACAAGTTCTCTTCGGATTCGGTGCGTGCTGCAGCCTTCTGGCATTTCACAAACTCTAAATGGCAGTCTGAAGGGTACGAGACAAACGGACCTGCCCCTGCATCTCTGCACGTCTTTGATGTCACCAGCGGCTCCTGGTCTCCGGGATACACGCCGCCGCCTGCTGTAACATCCCCCACAGTAACTACCCTATCGGGCCCGGAGCCTTCGTACACCCCTGGCGGCGGCGAATCGTCGGGCACTGGGTCCAGCCCCGGAGGTCCGGGTAGCAGTCCCAATCCTACAGGCAGCGGGTCTGGTAGCGGGGGAAGTGGCTCGGGCTCTGGGGATGGGTCAGGTAGCGGGGCGTCTGGCGCGAGCTCATCCAGCAACCACCATGCGACGAGCATCGTTTTGGGAACCGTCTTCGGTGTCTTGGGCCTTCTGGTTGGCACCTCTGCTGTCGTATGGTACATTCGACGACAACACTCCAGGCAGAGCTTTCATATGCTCCGTCCCTCGGATGATGATGACAATCTACCAGCACTACCTATTGCAGGCAGCCGCGAAAAAGGCCTTCCACCGGTCATTCATAATGTGAGGAGTAAACTGGGTGCATTCGTACCCGGACTTGCTCCTGCTGCCGTACCACCTCCACAGCGCCGGGACATGCTTGCGGACGAGGACACTCGAGAGTTCGCCTGGCAGGCTACGGTGCGCCGAGAGACCAGCAGCGGCCGCTCATCCTGGACGACCATGCGACGATCCGCGTTGAGCGACATGGTGCACGACTCACTCACCTCTCTCCGCACTGTCGGGGGCACCGTGCTTGCCTATGCCGCCGGCGCACGTAGCATGCTTTCGCGGGAAGGCAGCGCCGCCTCGCGGTCGTCGGCATGGTGGGAGAAAGAGCGGGGATACGAGCCATACGCAGATGAAGCAGCGCTGATGGGCGATCGCTCCCGCGCAACGCGCCCCAGGGGCGGGCGGCAGCCGTCTGACGGGCCATCGCTCGACGATCCGCTCGGCGATGATTCGATCGAGGCGTTCGCGCTCCCCGCCGAGTACCTCGCCGACGTCGACGCGGATGCAGACACACCGGAGCGGGGCCCTCCCTCCCTCGCAGACGCGCCCCCGCGCCCATACGCCCACATTCGCGCGCCGGCCGCGACCACCGATCTGACGCGCCTCTCGCCCGTCTCCGAGCGCCCGACGCTCCCGACGCTGTCCAGCCCCCCAAGCTCGGATTCGTCTCTCCCGCGCTCGATGCTGTTCCTGCCCGCCACGAGCAACCTCAACAGTGCGTCGGGCCCATCGCGCAGCTCGCACGAGACCCCACGCTCGCCACGCCCGTCGTCATTCCTCGACGCAAACCCGCCGCCGGCGGAGCCCATACGCCGCTCGAACAGCTGGTGGGTGCGCTTCGCGAAGACACCGCTGCTCGACCGACGCAGCAGCGACGCGCGCCCGCCGCTCACGATCCGCGACCCGAACCCCGCGCCGCGCCTCGCCGAGTCGCTCGTGCCCATCGAAGAATCGGCAGCGTCGATGCACGCGGGGGAGGCCTCGGGGGGCTCGCGGCACCGGCGGAGGCGGGACGTGTACGCGAGCACGCAGCACGGCCGCTCGGCGTCGTCGCTGCAGACGGCGCGCACGGCGGACTCGGCGGTGCTTGAGAAGATGGGGCGGACGATGGACGTCGTGCAGAAGGGCACGGTGGGCTCGCACTCGAGCGCGCCGAGCGTGGACAGCGCGGACGAGCGCAGCCCGGGCGCGGCGCCGCATGCAGACCGCTCGCTGGGCGGGCGGCCGTCGCCACTCCTCCCCGATGCGGACGACGACGGCGGGCGGGGGCTCGTCCAGTCGCCGGTGCAGATGGAGGGCGCGGCGCCGTTCCCCTCGCCCCCGACGTCACCGCGCACGAGTCCGCCGCGGCGGCCGACGACGGGGCAGGTCGCAGCGCGCGTGCAGGCGTTTGAGCGGCGCATGTCCGTGCAGGAGGGGGGTGCGCGCACGAAGAGGGATCGCGCGAGCGTGTACGGGATCGCGCCGAAGTCGCCGCTGTTTGTTGCAAACCCAGACCACCGGGCGAGCCCGTCCGACGCTTCGTCGGCGGGGACGTGATGCGATATGGCCCGCTGGATTCCCCTGGTGAGACTGGCGAAGGCGAAGGTTGCACCCACGCTGAGGTCTCCGTGCTTCTATCATTAGAGTTTGTGTCGAGTGACTTATTAATATAGGGACGATGTATGCCCGCTGCTTTTAGTGCTGCTATGTATAGGAGACGTTCAACGTCCACGACTGCGACTCGACTGTTGTTCTCACACTGCCCTGTTTTGCGCTACGATTGTTCACGACGACGTTATGAAATGATGTTTGTGTTTTGTATTTACCATAGGACGCTGACGAAGCAAACCGTCATGGTGCTTGCGTTGTCGGCCGGGATGACATGAGATGCAAATACAGCCGTGACGAGTTGGATCGTTGGCGAAGAAACGCAGCCGGCGCTCCCTCGAGGCCGACAGGCCCTTGAGCCGTTTCTTGTGGGAGAAAGGCGCCGCGCAATAAAAGCGGAGGTGCGATCACACGGAGGCGACTCAATCTTTGCTCAATCTCGGGCGTAGCGCGCTGCGATTGTGTTTTGCGATGCGGACGATTGGCGCACTGGAGCTGGAGGGGCCACCCTCCGCGACTCGATCGGCCTGGAGGCGCGGGGCAGCCTCCCCCCCC